TGCTATTGGTTGTGGTGGCTGGAGCTGTTGGAGGGCTGTGCTGTGAATAAGACTGCGGTTAAAGAAAAAAGGAAATGAGAAATATTCTTTTTCAGAAAGATTACTTCTTGTTTATGATGCAGCCACATACACAGTCATGCTGGTGTAGCAAGGAGGTGCTACTGCCAGATGTTTTACACCATGAAGCTGTGGCCTAAATACTATGCTCGGGACCACACAGGAAATATGTGTCAGAACAAGAAGTGAATCACAAGTCTTCAAGTTAAGCTACATACTAAATTGTCCTTTAGGTTTGAGCTTCAACTAGGTAATTTTAAATTGATTTGTTGCAGTTTTTGTTCAGATTTACTGTTTCACTGATGGCCGCCTTCTTTCTATGCACATAAGTGTGTCCTACCCTTTCCCCTTTGAGAAGGAGGCTAGATGGAGTAGTTTTGATCCCTTTAATAGGGCACAATTAACACTTTGAGCACCTTAAAATTCATTTTACTCCCTAAGTTTCTTCTGGGGTATTGTAGTTATATATAATCTTCAGGGCTGGATAGTTTTGTGAAGTTAGTCTTTATATTACTTCCTTCCTTTTTTCCAAGTCCATATCTTAAGCTGTTGCCTAAATTTGGTCTATTTGCGTGTCTTTTATGCTTCTAAACACCTTAAGGGATTTCTATAAGGTATTTGTTTTGATAAGAGTGAAGTGCACATACAGAAATACAACATAAACATACCTAATGAAAATTCTGTTTGATCCACCACTAATTGTCATACTTGGCTGTTCTACAGGGCAGCAGAAGCCCTGTGTTTTCTGCCCTGTTTTTCATCCTGAATCATTTTAACTAATAGTAAAAATGTAACTGTTTAGCTCTGTCTTGGTTTTAACTATGTTTATTCTTATTAAAGTAAATTGAAATTGTTTCCTGGGCACAAAACCAAAAACCATAGTGTGTTTTGTTTACTAGCAAATCACATTAAAATGCTGAACTTGTTGATGTATTTTTCAAATCTGCCTTGACAGAAATTATTCATGCTCAGGCAGAAAAATAAAGAAGGCGGTGTCAAGCCTAAAACATGGTATTAATCGAGGATGTGCAGCTATGACAGAAAAAATGTTTGCTGTTGGTTAGTATTTATTGTAGGAAAGCTTGGAGAACATCACTTCCCAGTAAGTGGTCTCCATCAGGAAAACTATTTTGGATAGCTGCTATACCTAAGCGAGTGTCTGCTCTCTTGGGTTATGTCTCCCCTCTCCGATAAAGAGAAGCGTGTTATATCCAAGGTGATTATGTGCCGGCTGGCCTGTTAGGGGAGACATGATGTAGTTCTGTGGAGTAAGTTAAGTGATGCCAGCTATAGAATAGATGTACAGTTGGCAGATTGCTACTTCATTATAAGATCATCTTCATTGTCTCCATTGACATTGCGCAGCAAACCAGCTAGAGCTTATTGGTGGTCCTCCCAGTGAGGCTTTCACATCACTGTGCTGCAATGAAATTGCATCTCTGGGACCTACTGAGTCCTGATGTCTGAAGCGCGGCACGGAGGGCGGCTTGACAAAATTAGTTTGTGTCAGGCATGCAGGGGGAAGTTAAGGGTCAGAGTAGGAATGTCAACAGAGATGCAGATTAAATTCTGGGCCCGTGGATTTTTATCTGAGATTCTTTAATTGGAAGGAATTATAACAGAAGTGAAGGACTTGCTGTAAAGTGAGGCAAAGCTCCATTTAAGGAGCATTTCAGTATTTTGAAGTTGCAGCTGTGAAGCTACATTTCAGAGTGATACTGAAGTTCTGAATTTGCTTGTTCTAAAAGGTATGTCCCATCAATGAAGGTGAGATTTAATTGCTTGCATTAAGTCATTTCTCCTTTTAGCTTCTCTAAGAACAAAACCTTACTGCAGGTGTAAACATTGCCTATAGAACACAAAAAAACCCTTTGAGAAAACCAAGTGAAATTATAAATTGTATAAAATTCCAAGATATAATTTTAGTCAAAGGAAGGAGTGCCATTTATGCTGCCCTGGATGTTCTGTCCAAAAGGTTTAAATTATAAAACAAGTAGTACCTATTAGCAAGTAAAAGCAATGTAGAGTGTAATTTGAATCAGCATTTATATTAAATAATTTATTGAACTGAGATTTTATAACAGTTATTACGTTATAAACTACAGCATTTATAGCTTTACGATATCAGTTATCTTTAATCTTTGGTACATTTTAACTCATTTAAATTGACTAAATTAAGAGATTATTGGGAAAAACATTCTTAATCTTGAGATTTTAACTACTTTATTCTAAAATGTTAATCTTCAAAGTTGTGCAATTTGCCTGTTTCAATTACTTTTTCTCTAAGTTTTGGCTTACTGTAAGAATGATTAGAAAGTGATGACAACTTTAATTGTGTTACCATTAAGCGCAATGATTCACCATTTCTTCATAACATTTTAACACAAGCAAATGCCTACTGAATCCAGAATAAGATAAATCGATGGGTTAGTTCCTATATATGTATCGCTAAGCGTGCATCTTCTAAGTTGTCAATGTGGAAATAGCTTCTAGACCAACACATTTTCATCTGGAATCCATCTATTTCATTGGCAACAAAAAATCCCAGTGGAAGTGAGACACTGAAGTAAATTCTTCAGCTGGAAACAAAATAGTAGATTATTTATTTATTTTGTCTACAGGTACTAGTTCTGCCATTTGATCCTTATTTTGTTTTTCACCTTCAGCAAAACGCTACACCTTCAAACCAGGAAATGTGACTATTACAAATACATCATCGTGGAGAAAAACAGGAAGAAAAATTTTGGAATATTTATTTTTTTGACTGTCTGAATTATAGTGTCACAGCACTATTTTGAAACTTGCTGAGTAGCATGTTTTGCTAAGAGCAAATATTTAAATTATAGACCAGAATCTGTTGCTTTATTATCATAACCTAATAGATGGATCAACATGTTATTATTTTTAATGTGGCCAGTAGAGCGAAGAGGAAAAGAAATACTTTAACTTTTGAAATCCACATTCATCCAGAATGGGAAGAAACTACTTCACTCACTCTGTTGGAAATGCTGCTAGATTAGCAAGACGAAAATACGATGCAGTTAATAGTAGCAGCACACTAGATGTATGGTTTGTATTATCTTTGCAAGACTCCCAGTTAAAAAGCAGCACAAATCATTCTAGCGACTGCATTTCTTGAAGGAGGGAGAAAAACCCTTGAAGCAAAAAATAGGAAGGGCATGGTGGTTATTTCCATTTGCTGCCCTTTCAACCACACATTTAGCTGAAACCAAAAATACATACTTAATAGTATTGAGAGCACAGAAAGGAAAATATAATTATTGGTATAAAATACAGCTATCACAGGCATATGTATTTTAGAAAACTGCTGTTTAGTATGTAGTGTTGCAAGGATTATTTTATTAAATCATTTTTTCCTGCGTATCTGTTGCATTTCTCAACAATTTATCTGATCATTTTGAAAAGGTAAATGAATACAAGTGATCTGACACTTCACATTAGAGTACTCAGAGTGCCATTTTGACACTAAGTGGTATGAGGATTTTAAAATATATATAAATACATATTAATAAATGTAATAAATATATAAATATATATAAATGTTGTACAGTACTAACAGGCACTGCACAGGGAAAGGACAAGAAGCATGTTAGCTCACTTAGTGGAGGAACATTCAGTCCTTCATTCTTAATATTACCTTGTAGGACTGTTGTAGGAAAATTCAGCAAGGGACCTCAGGTCTCTAGTCTAACCTCCTGCTCAGGGTGGGGTCAGTTCTGAGGTCAGACCATTGCTCAGGGCATTATCCAGTCAGGTATTGAAAGCCGCCAATGATGGATACTGTGCAGCCTCTCTGGGCAAGCTTTTTCAAAACCTGACTGTACTTAAATTTTCCTAAATCTTGTATGGACCACACTTGACAGCAGTGATGCATGTAGCATTGAGCATTTAAGTTCGAGATTTCTTGTTCCTCCCACCCCCTAAATCAGCAGCATGTTCAAATCTTTCTTCATCCTTCTTACATGGTCCAGATAAGTTGCTCTAGTGTAACACTGTGGGCATAATGGCTGTAGCGATGCCTGCCTGCATAAAAGCCTAAAGAAACTTAAGGTGGTGCAGCAGCAGCTTCCCTTCCTGGCTTTTTTTATTCTTTCGAAAATAGGAATCAATGCATAATTTTTAAACAGATTGTAGAGTAAGAAAAAAACAGAAGTCTCACATTGCTTGAATTGCCTGTCACTCAGTAATCCTGACCCAGTGAGTTTCTCAGTGAGATTTGTGCTGTGGGAAAGTACGTAGGCTTTTTCAGTACCCAATTTCAGCATTTTGTTATCCTTGGGAACACTTTTTTTTTTTCCCCCTCTTAACGGAGAAATAATTATAGTAATGCCAGATGTTGTTATTACTCTGTTAATTATTCTTTAACCAGAAACATAATTCTTAGTACTGTATGAAACGCAACTGATGCTTTTTTTCACGTATAGATGAGAGCGGGAATATTTGCTATCTTTTTACTAGGGTTTGTTCATATTTTACATTGAAAGACAAGAAGAAAAAGATTGTGGCTAAGTTTCATCAGAAAGGCAGCATGTGAAATGTGTGTTTCCTCAGATTTCCAGAGGGTTACAGTAATTGCCTGTAATGGGGCCATATTTTCAAATCACTCTTTGTTCTGTTTCCAAAGTCTTGTCCTTCACTCAGTGAACTTCTTCAAAGAACAGGTATAGTGGCATGCTATCTTAAAGGCTAGAAATGTAAGTGGTGGGAACACTGTCTAGTCGAAGTTTGTTTACACTTAATGCTGAAGAATAATTAGGTACTTTTTGACTCTCGTCATTTGTCTTATTAGGTAAACTGTACATTGGAAACAAGCTAGCCGCTTATAAACTTTCCCAGCTATGTAACTTCATAAAGTAGAGCACTTCATCAAAGCAGATCCATTAACCCTCTGACTGGTACTCTTCTCTTGGCTTTGATTGCAGCACCACACAGAAGCACCTAGCCCATCGTTGCTACCCCCGTCAGCTTTACCGTTAGATGTATTAAACAACGCTGTCGCTGGATTTAGTACTGTGGAAGAACTTATCCGGTACCTTGAACCAGATCGATGGCAACTGGATTTGGAAGATTTGTACAGGCCAACGTGGCAACTTCTTGGAAAGGCATATATTCATGGGAGGAAATCAAGAGGTAAATCACTCTTCTGTCTGGCCTTGCAGCTTTCTACGGGTGTGTTTTCTTAGCGAAGAAACAGTAATTAAGAGCATTCTTCACCTTGAATTTTGGTTCCAAGAAAGCAATATGTTAAGAAATATAGTAGAGATCATTGTTATTAGCTATTGTCACCAGTATATTATTTGAAAAAGGACAATAACTAAACTCAAAACTTAAAGGGATTTAGCAGGATAAGTAAACAAAGGGGAAAAAAATAGAAACAGACAGGGTAGTTTTCTGTAGGGAACCTGGGAGATCTTGATTTCCACAAACTTAGCAGGGCATCTTGGCTGGGTGACATAATCTAACTCTGCAGGTTTCTTTTTCTGTGGAGGGCAAAAACTTTATATTTTGTTTGGGGTAAGCAATTTCTTATACTTACTCTATCATGCGAACAATTGGTTTATTTCCTTAAGATTGTTGCAGGCTTTATATACCATATGAATTGAGAGCAAATAGCTAAGTGTTTCTCTTCCATGATTCTTCATGAAATCCCCATATCCATCCATGTCCAGTGTGATCATGCAGTTGTCAGCTTAATCAGATGTATAGTAGGATATGTATTTCAAGACTTCTGGAGCTATTTCTTCTTCAGTGGGTCATTTTTTTCCATGTGCATTTGACATCCATGAATTTTCTAACACATATCATCCAGATGATGGCCACTATTTAATGTTTATGGATTCCATGTGGATGGATGGCATGCAGGCAGTACCTCCTTCCTTGTCCACCATACAGCATGAAAATGAAAACATATGAACATAACTGAATAGATTCCTCTGTTGACAAACGTCAACTAGATTATCATCTGATCAGCAAGAAAAGGGAGGAAGTAAAACCTTTCATAACTCTAATTTAAGTTTTTGACAGCTATTTCTTGGATCAGAGCCTAAAAATCAATCTTTCTACCCTACCTGTATTGCTACAGCAATGCACACAGCAACTAAATCAAGAGTCAAGGAGGAGAAAATCTCTTTAAGAGCTTTCAGCAATGGACCATGCCTTTCAGATAGTCATTTAACACTTTCCTAATTAAAGAGATTCAGTATTTGCCAAATGTATGCAATAAGCATAGAGTAAGTGGGAGAAAAACAAAATGTAATTTATGAAACCTTACATAAACTAAAATGCAGGTGTTGGATAACATCTATATAGACAAAAGCAACTCCCTGCAAGACATATCTTAGGAAGAAACTATCGGAGTAAATCTTTTAAAGACTTCTAATTAGATGCTGAAATAGATTTTTCCACTGAATAAACATATCACGGTATTGCCACATTTATCTTTAAGAGACCACCCTCAGACTGCATTACCAAGTGTGTAATGTAATAGCCTGAGGCAGAAAATATGTCCAGTTGAGATGACATAGTATTAACTGTTAGGTCTATTCAATAGATAGGGAAAACAGCCCTTTATTTTTCCCTTTTTGTTTTCTTTTTTTTTTTTTTAACATTATTTCTTCTAGTAGTATGTTTGCTGTATTTCAACACTTTTTAAAGAAATGTTTGGGAGAAGTGTGTGCCCTAAAATGTTTGTTTTTTTCAAACTCTTTGATTCTATAATTAGATCAGTTTTATTTTTGCAATATTTCAGTGTAAAAGCTAAATTGCTGTCCTGCTTTCATAGACAGACATCAGTTTACATCTAGGTTTAATGAAAATGTAATTAAAAGTGTATGTTTTTTTATGCAGAGGATTGTCCTCTACTCCTACTTTTAATAATACTTCATATGAAAAAATACTTCATATGAAAAAGACTATATTTAGACAACCTAAATTCCACAGAACTTCTGTGTCTGATGTTTTCCGTGGATAAAATGCTTCCAAAAACTTCTAGCCAGGAAAGAATAAACACCAAGTTCAGAGGCTTTGATGTCTAAATATAGTCCTAAGGTCTTTATAATATTATACATACTTAAAAATAAAATATATTTTGCTGTGCAAAAAACCTGTCCCATCACTTCCCAGGGAAATCTCTGCATAATCATTAGACCATATTCTGAAGTCTGCTTAAGAAAGGGAGTCACAATCCAACCACAGTTAATAGACACTTTTCTTGGATAGTTATGTGACTTTTTTTTTTTTTTTACTCCTTGTTTGGGGTTTTGTAACAGCCCTATCCTACTATAGGAGCCAGTATGATATTTATACTCCCAGGAACATCTCCAGGGTGCTTAGGAATGAAAGCCATCCTGCTGCTATCTGTGCCCACACACAAGCACCTCAACCAGAATTTAATTTTTTTCATTGACTTTGAGAGCAGCATCCAGCTGGAAAAATGTTTTGGGAAAGAGGGTTCCCCGTGGTACTCAACACCAATCCCAAAAAATGCCAGACAGTTGCATTGCCGATTGCAGAACACAGTTTTTTTCAGGCTGGCGTGAACATGGATTACTTCAGTTGTATGTGCCAGTGAAGGCACACTTTTGAAATAGACTTTACTGTAGACCTACCTGCATCTACATTTTTTTCTCCCTTTTTTTTTTTCCTTCTCCCCATATTTTTATTTTTAGTGTTTCCCATTCATGTGCTACTGCAGAGCCTTCCATTCCTCCTGAGCTAGTGCTAGACAAAAGAACTTTGACTGTTGTGTCAAACATGATACATGAGTGGAAGCCAAGTTGAAGGAGTGTTTAAATGTTCACATTATAACAGGTACTGTAACTCAGTGCACTTGGGAAATCCACATAACCTTTTATTGTGGTTAAGTAAACACTTTTAAGGGAATATATACATTCTCTCATCTAACTTTGTGCCCACAGTGTGTTAAAATAAATTTTGGACAGACAGATACTCTTTGAAAAAGTAACAGCTTCCTTCACACACTTCAAAGAAGTGATTATATAAGCACTAGATAAATTTGCCACAGACCTTTTAATGAAATTGAATTACATCAGGTAGGGTGAGGGTTCATTGTGAGGTATAATAGCAATATACCTTAGTACATTGTAAAGCATGGAAACCAAACATGACATTTTTCATCTCTCCTGAAGCCTGTTGTAACAGTAAAGCACACTAAAATCTATCTGCCAAGAGGTGATTGCATGTTTTTCCACAGAACCTTTTCAAAATTTGGGTCTGCAGGTCCAAGGGGTTCAGTGCAAATTCATTCAAATTTTTTGACAAAATGTGTAATACACTTGCTGCTTATTTTAGTGCATTGCCCTTTCCTCTGTCTTGTACCTACAACTAGTACCAGGAAATGGATGCATTCCTCAAGTGCTGCCAGTAGGCAGGAGGTAACGGAGAAGCACAGCGCCAGATGGGCATCTCTGCCGCTGGTCGTTGGGCTTGCTGGAAGAGGCATCAGTGCCCACCTCCCGTTTTCAATTTCTCATGGTGACGGGCTGAGCAGCAATTGTGTTAGGCTACATAAGCTTAGCTTCTTGAAATTCACTGTACCGAGCATGTCAGTCTCTGTAGAAATCTACCAGTCGAAAGTATTAGCAGAACTAGCATTTCTCTCATTGTGTTTTAGGCATTTTATCCTCACTCAGACAGTTCACTCATTACATGTTTGAAAATGTAAGAGGAGAAAGAAGTACTCCATTCCTATCCAGAGTCCTTGATTAATGGAGGTAGACGTGTCCACCCTCTAAATGACTCAGCCTAGAGCTATTAGCTGATGCGAAGAGCTTAAATAATTTCTAATTTCTCACAGTGAATCTCTCCCCCGGAAGTTTTGTGTCTCTTTTCCTCTGCTCCCGTCTCAGCTTTCTCCAAGGAATGCTCTTGCAGTGTGGGAGGCAGGCTGGCGTCCTATCAGTAACTTTATTGGAGTTATTGCACACTCCTTGCTTTTAAAAATCAGATTGTTTATTTAGGAGCCTATGTTAACCTGATAGTGATGGAATGAAGTGCCCCAGCTTGGCATTCACTGTAAGTGCAAGCAGAGAAAAGGCTTCAGTTTGTTTAACTGACCTTTCACAACAATAAACCCTTACTTATGGATGCCAATATATGGGTATGGTCTGCAAAAGAAATGTTTGAAGAAACATGGGGTGAAATTGCTGCCCAAAGATCTGCTCCTGGGACATTACTAGTGAGCATTTCTACTAGAGAAATGCAGCTTCTAAATCCTCCTTATTTCTTACATGTTTAAATAAAATCCAGAGGTATTATCTTGCCTTGATAGGCTGAAGTTCTCCTTGGTGATGTCCAGAGGCTCTTTACATAGTCAGTAGAGGGGAAAAAAGGTATTTCTCTAGAGGGTGATTTAGTTCAGGAACATATTTTAGCTTTATTTTATATCTTTTTATTTATGAACTGCTAGCAATAACTATAAAGTATTTGTCAAGTAATATTAGTGCACTGGGATTTTTTTTTCCCCTAGTTTCTTCTTGATTTAGCTCAAACCCAGTTGATTTAAAGCTCTTTGCTGCTTTGTTCAAGACCTTTATTTCAGTCATCTCAGTAGCCATATAATCACAGGGTTTTCTTTTTCTATTTTTAACCAGATAGAGTACCCCTATGAATTAGACATTACTTCTGTTCCTTAATGGTGGTAGGTTTGGAGAGAAACAGTTCAGACAAAAGATCCCAGATTGCTTTTCACCAAAGTAAAAAATGTTTTGTTTTGTTTTGTTTTTTCACTAAACTGATCCCATTTTTTTTCAGTCTTAACTGCTTCTTTCAAGTCCTGTTATTTCTTGGCTATGCAGCTAAGGTGAACCTAAAGGAGCTTACCGTGTTTCAGATCTTTTCATGAGCTTGCTGTTCAACCATTGGCATAGTGAAACTTAAGTGGGATACAGTGGAACCAGTTCATAGAGAATCTGGTGCCAAATATTGATATCTCTAACTTGCACTTCAAGTTAGGTGCTTACAAGGAGGAGCTGTATTTTATTTAAGACACATCAAGTGCAAATGAAACCTAGAGAAGCAACAGAAATTCATACATATGCTGCTATGAAGGAGGAGGGAAAAAATGGAGTCTAATAATAGTTATATAGCTACACATAATTGTGCAGTTATTTGTTGTCTGTACAGTATTCATTGATGATGACATCCTTCTTGAAGTTCTTAGTCCATAGAAGTGAGCTCCTCTTGGAAATAAATGGTTTGATTCTTTTTTATACTTACATTGCCCTTGCAAAGAAGCAATAATTGAAATTTTAGCAGAGATGAAGTTTGAATGCTGTATGCAAATGAATTAAAAATGCGTTTGGAGGTTTGCAGGATCTGCTGTGTGTTTCTCCAATCCAAAATTAATACAGAATAGCAACACTAGAGCTCAGAGTATGAGCATGAACCAACGGAACTCCATTAGGTTTGATTTGATAAAATATTTATTGCAACATAGTAGCCAAAGCTTGCTTTGTTTAATTTGAACGAACTCTGCCAGAGATATAAAATAATTGGTGAATACTCCTTTACAACGATCATTCCATTTAGGTTTCATGGTATTCATATAACTGCAGTATTATACTTGTGTGCTGAACCTGTACCACCTGCACAAAAATGAACTTTCTTGAAGGGTTCTGCACTGCTGAAGTGGTTTTACCACCAACAAAGTTGGATTACGAATCAGAAAAGCACCAGTCTTTTTGTCTTTTTGCAGTGGTCGATCTCAACCTCCTAAAGGAGGAGGTGCGGCTATACAGTTGTACTCCTCGCAACTTCTCAGTGTCACTGAGGGAGGAGCTGAAGCGAACTGACACCATCTTTTGGCCATTGTGTCTTCTGGTAAAACGTTGTGGTGGAAACTGTGCTTGTTGTCATCAGAGTTGCAATGAGTGCCAATGTGTACCAACAAAAGTCACCAAAAAATACCATGAGGTACGCACTTTTTTTACATTTGCATGTTTGAAAATACTGAAAGCCAATTAAGGAATTTATTTTTACTATAGGAATGCATCAATATTAATATTTTTAAATTTTATGTATTGCATTTATAGTAAATATTTTTTTTACCATTTTAATGAGGTGTTACATAAAAAAAAAGTAATATCTTCCTTGTTAAGAAATTTTTCTTTGGAACTATTGAGTAATTCCTAAGGTATTTGTTTACTGGTGCGGTTCAGACACATCACAATCACACTTCCTTCTTCACCTTTCTCTAGTGGTAGATGTGAACTTTATGAGGGAACAGATATCTGTCCATTTCCGTCATTATAAATCTATCACTAAAATTATTTATTGTAGCATTATCTAATAACTCCATTGGGTTAACTATACTATTAACCCATAAATAAAATGAAATAGAAATATGAAACTGCAAGTCTCTCTTCTTTGATAAAAGCAGGTATCTGTTCAACATGTTTTAATCAATTTTGTAAAGGGCTTGAGGTAAAAGCAAAAATGATAATTAGTGGGTGGAATAAATGTAGACATTCAGCTGAGGAGAGTCTATTTCTCTTGTCATCCAGTGTGTTTCCAGTGCAGTCCAGCTCATAGCCTAGGTGTGTGATGAAGCACTTGCTGTTTTCTTGATGCTTGGCTGCTTCTCCTTCAGGTTCTTCAGCTGAAGCCAAGGATTGGCGTCCGTGGATTGCATAAATCATTGACAGATGTACCCTTGGAACACCATGAGGAGTGTGACTGTGTGTGCAAAGGGAATACTGAAGGATAAACATGATTTAATTGTGCTGTTTTATTTCAAAGCACATTCAATCAATGGCTGATTCTATTATGGGGCTTGTGCATTATCTCCTCCTGTAATCTCAGTTGTTTGCTTTGGGGATCTTCCATCTTCAAGATTTACAGTGAGCTCTAAAAAGAGGAGAAGCCAAACTGGGATTATATGTTGTGTGACAGCTCTCTTTGGAGGCCCAGTGAAAGGATGGGAGAAAGGCATCAATGAGGGATTTAAAATATATCCATTGTTTTTGTCCCCCACAATTTTCTTGACAATACATGGATTTATAATTTAGGAGTAAAAATAAAGTTAGAAGGCTCACATCATGGAGACTTGATCCTGCTGGCTGTCTTATTTCTACAGCTCCAGTACATCTGGCCTCTGGTTGAAAACACCTGAAATCTTTCTTTCTGTGTTCAACTACTCCTATGTACTCTAAAATGAAGCGTTCTCTGTTGTATAAACTTGGGTTAAAACAGACTGTCTTGTTCTGAATTAAACTTAATTTGTCTAACGCTGGTAGGAAGGACTGGATTTTCCCATCCGCTCTAGGAAAGCTCCTGCCTTTTAGAAAGAAGACTGGACAATAACTTGAGCTAAGGAAGCAAACATTGGAAAGAACAACGCCTTTATTCTTACTACTATGGCTGATGATTTTTTGTTTGTTTGTTTGTTGTTTTTTTTATCGTGTACATTTTTATACTCTCCTTTTGACAATATAACTATTTGCTTTTCTAAACTTGTTAAATATATCTATTTTTACCAAAGGTATTTAATATTCTTTTTTTATTACAACCTAGATCAACTATTTTTTAGTTTTGTGAGACTTTAAAGCCAGATTTATACAGCTGGAGGAACAGAGATGTGGTTACAATGGAAAGGAGCATGATCTCTTTGCAGTGAAAAAATTAGTTTTTTACCTGGATGCACAGTAATAATAAACAGAGATATGTGGATGAAGCTCTAAGCTTGCTAGCTCCATGACACCGAAAATAGGAGAGACAGACATTACTGTAAGTGGTTTCAGAAGCTGACTTTAAAAATTCCCTCTCTCCATTCTGGCCTTTGTTCCAGTAGAAAAGAAATGAGCATAGATAGATGCATTCTGGCTTGTTTAACTCTGTAATTTCTTTAAAGTAGGATGATCTACAATGTAAGAAAAGAAGCCGAGTGGCTTGCAGCCTTCATGATGCATCATGGTCACGGGAAGGCAGCCTTGTTAATGTTGAAGTGTATGGTTTTCCATTGACGGTTATAGCTGTTTAAGCACTGTTCACTCACAGGATCGTAACACTCTTCAGTACAGCTTGATGAACTATGGTTTTGTTCTTCTGTACATTATATTCTTTAACCAATACACTTATCCCACCCTATGCAAATTGAAGAGGAAACAGTAAAGTATTTTGCTTGTAAAATGCTTTAACATTATGCCTAGTTTATTTTTTTGACTATTGGATTTGCAGATTGTAATGAATCACCAAATAAAGTAATAATGCTAATTTTGGGAGAATAAATGTTTCTGTGTGGTTCCATATTTGTATCTGTTCAATATACAATAACAGGAAAAGTGAGAGAGGGTGACTTTCTACTTACCATTTTGAAAGTCAATTATGAAAACAAAAGTCATATGTTACGAAGACTTCCACTTGCTTTATTAGTTCTGCTTTGTTGTAAATCCACAAGAAGAAAAAGGGGAATGAAGGAATGTGATGCTATTTGTATAAACATTCAAAATGTTCAAATATGTGTGGATGTGAAGCCATCAGATTGAAATAACTTCTTCTGTTATTGTTTCCAGTGAGAAAATGAGCTCTGATGAAAACGTGGAGGTTTTTGCAAGTTGGTATGACTTTCTGATATCAGTCCTGGAAAATTCTCAGGTGACTTCTGATTCTGTCTTAGCCAGTCTGTTTTGCCCCACCCTCAACCTCCTACTGAATGAGAAAAATAACTGGTGTAAATGTGGCATATAATTATCCAGTCTGAACACTAACCGTGTATCAGAATGCAGAATTTTGGTCACACAAGAAACCTGGTTTACTTGAATTTTCAGTCTTTGACCAGAATAAAGAGTGTTTTGCAGGGATGTTGGGGATTGCATTAACATTGTCCTTTTTTATGATTTAGAGAGCTTTTGAAAAGCAAGTTGAGATAAAAGCAGAAATCATAGCCTCTGAGATCATAATTCAGCAGAAGAATTGAAAAGTGGAGTTCCATTACAGAAACCAAGGCCAGGTTGGACAGGGCTCTGAGCAACCTGATCTAGTTAGTGGTGTCCCTGGTCACTGCAGGGGGGTTGGACTAGATGACCTCTAGGGGTCCCTTCCCACCCAAACCATTTTGTGATCCTGTGAAATTTCTGCTGTAGGAAGTGCAGGAGGTCTCATCCTTGTCTGTAGGCTTGCACTACTAGACTCCTACTAGACTTCCGCTAGGACGAAGGCACGACATGCATTTTGGGGTAGGTATCTGGTGGCAGCAAAAGAATGGGGAGTTTCTGGAACCATACAGGGTATGGAGGGTAATATTTTCCAAAAGTCACAAGTATTTCTTCTATTGCCCCTCTCTGGCTTTGGCTCGGCCTCTTCCTTGCCAATTTCTTGCACCAGTTTCCATCCCAATCGCTTGTTACAGACCTGCATTTGAACTCCTTACTCCTTTGCTATCTACATTCCCCTTCACAGCGCTGCCTCTCTCATCTGATCCAAAATCACCATCCCTCCTGTTTGCCATCCTCTTGCTGAGCATTGCTGACTCTTCCCCCCCTCCTCGGCTCCATGCTGAAGCTGTGTCTTCTCACTGCCGCTGCCCAGACATTGTTTTTCCATCTCCCCTCAGATGTTCAGGAGATTTAGCACTCCACCTCTTTGCCTGACTTAAAGAGCATTGATGGCATCAGTTGTTTTAAAGGATGGGATCTGGGAAAGATACTAACCAAGCAAAGTTATGAAGGGTGCAGTTTTCTTGCTTCGTGCCATGTCCTCTGTCCTGCTGGGTAGAGCAGCTGCCCGCTGGCAGTGGATCACTTCTGCTGGTGACCTGATGGGACGCACCTGTGCTGCGTCCTGCCTGGGTGTGGTAGGCTTGGTCTAGAGGTCCTGCCGAGTTCACCGTGGTCTTTGTATCCAGAAGAGTCTTAAAATGTCTTGACAATGTCCTTCTGACAGCACAGGGGAGCTGCTGTCGCAACAATAGATCACGCTGGTGACCTCCTGTTGGCAGAAAAGGGTGAGTTGAGGTAAAATATGTGGGGCCAGGTAAAGACAGGTGAGGGGGGGGGGGCGAGTGGGCTGGGCCAGGGGCGCTGGGAGCAAATACAGCAGAAAAGGGCAAGAGAGAAACAGTGCTGGTGACCATGGTCTCCTAATTATTTGCTGAAGCTCCTAATTTGCTGACTGCCAGCCCGCGGTGAGGCCTGTAGCTGCCTGAGGCCTGCCCCCCTCGGGAGGTTTAGTCAGCCCCAGGTGCGAGGCTGTCCTCCGCAGGCTGCGTGGGGACGGTGCCAGCCGGCGGAAATGATGAAACAGGGACACGCACGGCTCTTGGGTTTAACTGGGATGCCTTGAACATTGCCGGTATTTGGTCTTGAGCTTTGAAAAATATACTTGATACAAAACTTCAGAATTGCACGTAAGAAATATACTAAGTACAGTAGGTACAGTTTTAGCATAAATGGATTATTTCATGCTATACTTACAGAAACAATTGCCTAACTCTACCTCTCCTAATTTGCTTAAAATTCTCCCGTTGAGAGGTTTTCATTTCTCCCTCAGAAGATTTTCTCACCCGAAGATGAAATTTTTCAGTCAGATGTTTCTGAGGAGCATTAACTTCTTGCGGCCTTGAGGTGAGCCAAGGCTTGTTATACCCACGGTTACACACAGCATTCAGCAAATGCTCCTCTGAGGGTTTAATTTCATTATTATTATTTATGTTCTGTTGTTTCTAGGAAAAAAGTGTGGTAAAAGCTAACTGAAGATATTAATCATGAATTACTAAAGAGCAAACAGCAGTGCCTTTCACAGTTACAGGTCACTGCAGCTGAATGTCAAGGATGGGCATGTGTAGAAAAAGACAGATAAAAGTGGGCAGGAAGCCCATGATTTTCAATGTGGAATGGAAGTTGCAAGCTTTGATCTTACATCTTTGTGGAGATTTTTTTAAATTGTTGCTGTCTATTTTAAGTCGTGAACTGCATTAATGTGAGCATCAGTGTTTGGGAATAAAGAGGGAAATGACTGTTTCCCATGGGCCTAAGCAGTGGAAACAGCTGAGTGGAATAAAGTAGCTCCTGTAAGCAGACAAAATCCAAATAGCATAGGGCACGTTTTGTAGGTTTTATCATATTCCCAATAATGGCGTCTGCTAAAAGCCACTATTCCTCCCCAGAGAAATAGGTGGGGAGCTGCCAACTGATGGTGAGCCTTGTTTTTATGGATTCTGTAGATACTCACATTCCTGGAACCCTCCTGTCAGCTGTAGCAGGCATGGGAGTGATGTGGAGCAACACCAAAACTTTAGTCACCAAGGGCGTTAACTGCAGATCTGTTGGCTCTTAAACTCTTTTAAGTTTCCTTGCTCTTTGTCCTCCTGGTTCCAAAGGCTCACAGCTCCTTTTCAGCAGAAGAGGAGAAAAAAAATAAATGTGGATGATACAACAGAGCGTATGGAGGGGAAAGACAGACAGAAGTACAAAGCTACCTTATTTCGTAGCTACTGCATCATCTATGTAAGCTGTTACCCGATTCCCTTTCTAACAGAGGGCTGTGTTGAAACTTATAAATTTGCAATTCAGGTACTGATTTAGCTGCTTAAATAGTCTCATTTTGATTGCAGCAAACTCTGGAAATAAAAATTAGAAACATTTACTTTCTGTTTGACTTCTGAAGATACAGCAGTAGTGCTACTGTTTAAAGCTCTCATAAAACTTCATGCAGAGATGCTAAAAGAGTCATGATTGCAAGATTCTCATTCAAACAAAGCTCTGAAGTGAAGTAGACCACCTTTTCTGATGCTGCTTGTGATATGATGTTTAAATTAGTTTGAGTAAATTTGCTCTTCATATAGTTTTCTTGCATGGGATGCTTTATCAGACAACTTGCCTTTCCAACTCCTTTCATGCACCTTTTAAACCCAAGGGCAGTGGGGTTTTTTTTTGGTTTGTCTGCCAAAATCACAGAGTAAAAATATGGCTACTTTTTTCAGCACAAACTGGACAAAGCTTTTGAGAGAAAACAGTTTGCCTATTGCCTCATTGGAACTCCCTTAGCTTGTTGAAAGAAAAATAAGTT